AACGAGAGACTTGTATATTACGATTATATTGAGAGAAATGCGGCTATGCTGTTTTTTAGAGTTGTTTCAGAATCTTTTTGATATTATCATATGATCATATTCAAATTTCAAAATATCATTCTCAAAATACTCTCAACTGATTTTGAAAATACGTAGTTGTTCATAAACTACAAGTTTATTTTCTTTAGATTTTATTTAAACAATTAGGATATTCTTATCAGAGACCGTCATCAGGTCAGGGCATCAGGGCAGCCCTGAGGGTGTGGGTGTGGGTGTGGGTGGGTGTGTGGCTGAGGGTGTGGGTGGGTGTGGGTGGAAGTAATCACATGCCCACACCCACCCGCACGCACACCCACCCACACTCACACCACACCCCACACCCACACACACACTCACCTACACCTGACAGATAATAAAGAATGGCTAAGCCACAAAAAAATCTTTTGCATTCTGTTATTCATTGAGTTGCAAAATGTTGATGAAATACCGCTTTGAACTGAAAATAAACACGCACTGCTCACACTCTCGAACTGCTTAGTGAACCATAAGTTATCAATGTTCGATCTGTGAAGTTATGTGCTAGTAGCACTCTTCGTAAAACCAATAGTTGTTTCAACACGTTACATTGGGATTATTTCCAAGTTTATGGTCTTTACTTTAATGAGTGAGCAAAATTGAACTCATGCAAGTGAATTATACAGATACGACGTGTTATTTTTTGATAAGCATACGCACAACAAAGAAAATTTTCTGATATCTTGATGCAAAACCATAATGATGTATACTAGTAATTATATTAAATAGAAATGCTGGTTTTTAAATTTTGATGATAATTGATGAGTCGTTCACAAATCGGAAAACTTGTATTATCTTAATTTTGACTCCATTTTCTTAGATTTTAAATAATCAAAGTTCTTTTGTTCGGGTCTCTGTTGAACTCGGTGATGCGCGAATACTCCATTTCTTGTAATATTGTTGTAATAACGAAAAGAGACCGAGAGTATTTCTATATTGTTTTCATATGAAGACTCAATTCCGAGACAAGATATTCCTATCCCTATTTGAGGGTGTGGGTATGAGTGTGGGGTGTAAGTGGTGTCGATGTATGGGTGAAGAGAAGACACTGATCCACACCCACCCACACCCACACCCTCAAAGACGTCTCTATGTCTCTGAGGATGGGTGCGGGTGTGGATTAGGGTCGCTGTGTCTGTGAATGATGAAAAGGCTAGCAGTCTAATTTCGCACCGACACTCCACAACAACACTCTTAATAAAGTGTCATTGTTGTGTTTTACAGAATACTTTGAAAGCTATTAGTATATCGATTTGTATTATTTTCATCTTGTACTCATCGATTGCTGGTTTTTCTTCTTTGTCTCTATGTTATTAACGTAATATTTCAATATTTTAATCATGTGCCTCTGGAAAAATGAAAAGAAAAAAATTGATATCCGAGAAAGAGTTTTATTCAATCCAAATTAAATGGATGTTTTTTTTTCTGCTCTGCCAGATTGTAGTTTAATATTGACTGAACAAACAAAACAAACGAAAGTAGTTAAGTTTAATGATGAAATTTATACTATGCATTCTTGTAGAAAATTGTTTATGAAGTTGTATGAAATACTCTAGTCCATCTTTGAATTCCAACATCAAATTCATGTTTGTAGTTTTTTGATGGTAAAACAAAGATAAAGAATGTTGATATTGATGGTAAAAATGAGACATAATAACCAATAAGATATAGCCAAGGTTCACGTGGTGATCTCATACATCCTTTGATGAATGAAATTATTAAACGTGGTAAAGCTAATAATACTAATATGCAAGGTGCAAACAACAGATGTTTATGTCGACATATTTCTTTTCGTATATGTTCTTGAAATGACAATTGAGGTTGTAAATAAAATCGTTTTCGAGCTAGTTTTATAATGATAACAATAGTAGAAATCAAGTTAATTGAAAGTGGAACGAGGAAATGAAAGAGAGTAACTGATAAATCGTAAATATTGACAATAGATGAATATCGAACTAAACACCAGAGTCGTTTTTCATCGCCATCTAAATCCTCAACCAGTTTACGATGAATAGGATCATGGATATGTGTGGATGTTACTAAAAGAAACACGCCAACACTTATCAATTTTGCTATTTGTTTACTTTTTCTTTTATTGAATTTGGCACACTGAATGACATTAGTCATTCTTTCAACGGCTACGCCTGCGTTAAACCATTCAGTGGATACCAAAAGAATTTTAAGCATGAAATCTAATGAAATACAATTGACAATGAGTAATGACCGATTCGTTAAAAGTAGCACTTGTGAAAGAACAAGTTGACTAAATTTGATTGTTAATACAACTACCATACATATTGAACTGATCGATGAAACTAAAAGATAGAAACCACAACCAACTTCTTTTATTTTCTTTCGAGAAAATGTAATGATCGAGCATGATCCACTAATTAAACCTAAAATGAAGATAATCACAGTGATAACAAGACTTATCTTTACAATCAATGGCTGTCGATTAAATGCAACATTTTGCTTGATATGATATCCAAGAATAGGATCAAGTGAGAAAATAAAACCTTTTGTCGAAAATTGGCATTTACTACCATAATAACAATCTTCACATGTGCATAAAAACTTTGTTGGACATGTTTGGTTATTCTGAAAACATTGACCATCGTTCTCACAATCATTATATCCTTGGCAATCATAATGTATCGTATGATTGAAAAGAAAACAATTGGAAAATCGATCAAGATCACAAATACACATATGATGTTTATCATAGAAACACATAAGTTGCGAATAATTTCGACACAAAAATGGATAGTATTTTACCCGACGAAAATAATCATAATTAAGAAAAGTATTATTAAGAAGCTCTTCAATTGGAGAACAACGCTGCTTTGGTAATATTTCAGTATAGATTTTTTCCGAAGGTATTAGTGCTTCTCTTAATACAGCCAAATAATAATATTGATTTGGTATTTGAAAAAAGATCATATTAAATGGTTGTGCTACACTAAGCGTAATGATTTGCTGACTAGAAGGAATTTTTTTCAATGTAGTTGTTTGTTCATGATTTGTATGTTGAAATGCTGTAATAAAATGTATAAGTACGGACGAAGTTATTGCTGTTATTGTTTCATCTAAATAAATAGTGATCTCACTGTTTGCTTTTTCACATCTTTCACCTGAATAATCTTCTGTACAGAAACAGATAAATCTCTGCAAACTAATCCGATCATCAGTTGGTATGCATAAACCATTATGTTGACATGTATTGTTATTTGATTGACAAATCGAATGTTTCAAATAACATCGAGGGCCAAATCTATGTAATGAACATACACAAATCGATGATGTCAAACATATAGAATCATTTGCACACGAACATATATGCGGTATGTCACAATGAGAACCAGAGTATCCTTGTTCACATTGACAAAAAAATAATGATTTATTATTTGTATATCTTACACATCGACCATGAGTGCCACATGATAAAGAACATGCGTCTATTTTTTCTACGCCAAAAATATCCAATCGTGTAGCGATTCGATTCACTGGTAAAAACGAAAATGGAATAGGTAAATACCAACTAGCCCAATAGTCTAAAGTTGTCTTATCAAAGGCATCAATACGAATTGCGTAATTGATAGATAAATTTTTTGGTCGAGTCGGATAAAGTAAGTAGATATTATATTTTGTATTACAATCCTGAACTGGCATGTATGTAATTTGTTCGTGATCACCAACAATATGTCCTTTTTCGTCTATAAGCATAATAATCATTTGAAAAATAGCCATCATAGATATTTTGCTGCGTACGGAGAACTGAAGAGTCAAGCTAATCCGTTGATTCTGCCATTGACATCGATTACCGAAATAACTCGGTGGACACAGGCATTCTTTTCTTTCATTCACACCAGTTAGCACAACAATACCTTGGTGACAATATCGGATTAGTGCAAAGTCGATGTTAGGTAAAACCATTTTCTTTTGATGCAATTTAGAAATAGACCGAACAGAAGTATTAGTAATTAGTTTTGGTATATTGCCAGATCGCCAGGTAGTTAAAACAGCAGATGTTATTTCTTTAAATGAACCATCATATAATGTGCACAAGAATTTGTTATTTCTTATGAGATGAACAGTATTCCCATAAAATAATCTGGATAAACCAGGTTGATAAAGACATACTTCATCTTGTTTTACTGAGACTTGTAAATGATAACGACAGATTTTTTCTGCTGTCACGCATTTGCTCTTGTTCCATGAATAATAATATTCGCCCCAATCATGAGTTCCATTGTCGAAATACAATTGACGAGTAACAGATTTGTCGCTGCAATCATCAATAAATTTATCAAACATATTAGCTATTGGTAAACAATAAGATAATCCTAATAGTTCATTTTTGCATTCATGCTCATTAAGTGAACAGTTTGTTTTAGAACAACCGAGTTCATCAGCACCATTCGAACAATCCCATTTCTTGTTACAACGCGTGTATGGATTGTCACATGGCCACCATTCACAGTTTGCGTTAGAAGCTTCAGTCGCAAAAGAAAGTATCGGATCTCGATAAATGTTTTTATTGCATAAATCAGGGAACGGTAGCAGTTCGAATACATTCGATATATATATATATATTTCATCTTCTGCAAGGGAGCATTGATAGTGTCCACTACCTACGGCAACTGGCGACAGACACTTCTTCGGTTCTGATTTACATATGAATCGATTTGAATCATTGAATAAACAGGCATCTGATTGTTCATCTTCATCGAAAAAACAATCATTGATACCGTCACTAACACGATGATATGGAACACATTTTAACGAACGATTACAATGAAAGTAAGATAAATTTCTGCAGGATCTCTCATTACCTGTTTTGTAACATCGGTTAGCCAAATCCGAAAAATAATTCATTAGCTGCATAAAATTTTTTATATAATTTACTTCCAACAGATTGAAGGTCCTGAAACATGTCAAACCGGTAATTATTTCAATAGTGACTATATCAGACAGTAATGCAGGACAGTTTTGAGCGTAAAAACACACAAAATCAGGTATAACGCTCATCTTAAATTCTTCAATGGATCGATTAGTTAAATAGACAAATTGAAAAATACCAAACATTTTAGGTTCCTCAGGTATGACAAGCCATTTCGAAGAGCAATACTTCCATAAAGGTTCACAGTCATTGTTGCACTGATCTTGTAAAAAGAGCAGCGATGAAGATGAAAAGATCATCGGAGGTACGATCCAGCCTAAAATATCAGGAACAAAAGACGTGTGAATACATGTCATAATGACATAATTGTGATGCTACCATATAGTAAAATGCATAAAAAACCTTTAAGTATAGAAAATCAATAGATATGTTTCTAAGTTCTCATCATCATTTTCATTTCATCTGTATTCTAGCTAATGATTACTGGAGTTACTTACTTCCATTCAGATAACAGGGTGGTGTGCGGATCTACTCGTGAATAGTAGCCACACTCAAACTTGGAATGACTCCTATATGATATCTTTTCTTTTGATCGTTTAAAACTTGTCTTGTACTCCTTCTTAGAAACACTTCACATGTCTTACAACTTCCTTGATGATTTTTGAATTTAAATACATATTCTTCTAAATCTGTTCTTCTCTAGGTGTGTGGAACTTTATATCGTTTGTGCACTAGTCATTGAAAATGTATTACAATCAGCATTTATTTTGTCTAATGAGATATGATAACTCTTATCAAGCTAGATTACTGCTGATAATACATATTCTTTCAGTTAATGAATATATAATTATAATATAACTGCTCTAGACGGATTTATCTCGAAATTGCCACTATGAAGACATTGCAAAAACAAAATCACACTGTATCATATTAATTTTAATGTCTTTTACATTTCCAATGTTGCTTGTATCGATATGTAATTTTATAACAATCAATTAGGTATCAATGTATCTAGTCTAAGCTATGCTACTGATAGAGGGAAAATACAGTAGATGCCGTATGTGAGTGGCGAAATAATTTCGACCAAAAATGAAAGATCCTCCAGGGATAACTTAAGATAGTTAGAAACTATGATGTAGGTAGATTCTCGCCTTGTTAGGCGTATAAGATCGTTGCCAGTTCTTCTTAACATTGCCGATTAATAATGGATCCCCTAATAAAATTAATAATATAAATTCTACTGAAGAATCAATAAAAAATTGGAGAAATCCGAGTTATTTTATGATTCATTTACATCATAGACTCAGGAAATGTTAATAATTTAATCTCTGATTATCTTTATTCGGTTTTGTCAGGATTGAAATGAGCTTTCAGGAAAATCTATAAAAAAAATTTAGTAAAAGTATCAGTACATTTTGTATCGGTTAGAATGGAGCTAGTTGAAATTATCAAATTAAAGTCGGTTACTGTTTTTAACTAATCAAATCACGTATGTCTCACGGATGGTGAATATCTTATTATGTTAAATTTGAAACCATTCGACATTTCTGTTCTTTTTCTACGTTACCGTTGTGTTGACTGCATTGAAGTGCACAATAGAATGCTTGTTGACAACTCAATTGTGATATGTGATCTAACGAAGTAAATAAAATTCGAGATATTTCCTTGTCTCGTTGATTTGCACAAGAAACTGAATAACTTGGTAAACTAGCTTCATAAAGATATTGGCCATCGCCACATTGAAATGTGCGAGGAAATCGACCGATACGTTCTTCGCATATAAATGTTGAAATCTGTACACAACGCGCATTGAACATTCTAGTAAACATTAGAAACTGTTCTTTCTCATCACTACCGTCTAAACAATCGACACTGTAGGGATTATCTCTATGAAATGTTCGTGGAATGCATTGCCCACCGTAATGACATCGATATTCATCATCAGTACATTGGCTCATTTCTAATTGTTCACACCATTGTTCATCACTTGCATCTTTACAATCAGCTTTTCCATCACAAATTTCACGCCAGTCAAGACATAAAGGCCACAATGAATGATTACAATTAGCTAAAAATCGATAACATGTTCCATTAGTGACATTACCTGCATTTGGTAAGCGACTGGTGAAGGTTGCATTAACAATATCACTGAATGTTGAAAAAAAATCATATGGAAATTTGTATTGGCACACAGAACCAAACCATGGCGGTGAACAATTATAAAAAGCCTCTGAAGTTGTACTATTAATTTCGTACCTTTCTGCAATATCTATAGGCGCTGACCACATAAGTAATTGTTCACTTGTCACCTTTTGTTGATTTAATTCTCTGAATGTGATTGGCTTTATTTTAGTTTTATCTTGCATACTTAAATTATCCTTTTCTTCAGCAAAATTGGGCCTTCTACAATAAGCTGTCAAATGATAATTACGAATGTAAGGTGCACCATCTTGCTTTTCGCCAACAACCGTATAAGCATATAAACAATCGAATGTAGGGTAGAAAGTTTGTCGCGAATCAGTACAATACAATGAATAACGAGTATCCACGAGAACACATGAAAGGAGAATAATTGTCAAACATAGCATCATAATGGTTGAATGACTTTATACCACTATTGGAATTTCTCCTTTTTTTTATACTACTAAAAGTATGATAAATGAATAGTGTTTTCTTAATTGTCGAAGTTCAAAATAAATGAACACATATGCTCTTTCATTTTTGTTAAAGAGCATCATTACCGATTGTCGGTTTCTAAATGAAGTTTTATTTGCGATGAAACTTATAAGTTAGTTTATCTCATTTTTTTATCTTCCGTTTTTTCATTTTCTGTTGTTATTAATATTGGATAGTGGGCTTACAAAAAGCAGTAGATTGTCGAAATGTTCCTCTTTTATAATCTTCTTTCCATGAATCATTAAATAGCACCAACAATAGAAAAGGGGACGACTATTCGGTTACATTTAATTTAAAATCAATAAACTCTCAAAAAGACAACATATACTACTAATATTTCAGGATAACAGGAATATTTTATAAGAACAAAGATATATATGTAGAAAAAAAATCATGTCCTTTGTTCTTTCTTTTCATTGCTTGACATATGGCTTTTTTATTTTTACAAGCGGACGCTATATTTCATAGAGTCAGTGATGAAATGGAGTTTTTCCTGTTATTGTCAACACATTCTGTTTACTGCATTTGTTCAAAGCGATAAAAGAACATAAGGAACATATAAAAAAAATGTATTATTGTAACGGTTCCTATTCTGTAACAAAAAAAAGAAAGAAGCTAGCATTAAAATTTATTAAAATAGAAAGTGAAATGCTATCAGAAAAAAGGAAGTCACTACAGAAAAAAAAACTCCGAGAATGGGAAATAAACGTGGTCAACATTATTTAAAAAAATTGGGACTTTTTTCAGAGCATATTAGTAATTAATGTTAACACTCCAAACACCACGATTTTCAAGAATGCTCGAAAGTAATTCAACTTATGCTAATTTTGCATGACTAATTGAAAAGTATAATTGCAACAATAACCATCAAAGAAATCCTCTCCATACTATGATCCAATCCTTCCTTACTAGTAGTAACAAATGCTCATGATCTGTCGTTTGATTCCAATATGTGCCTCTTCGAAATAACTTTCCTTAATAGACGTTTTCTGGAAAGGTGAAAGTAGCTCAAAAATACGAACAAATCTCTTCTAAAGCTTGATAAGACTATATTATATGTCAGTCATATGCACCTTATGTTCATTAACAAACATAAGAACATTCAGTTAGCTTGCTTGGGTACAATTGAAATAATTTTCATAATCTTATTAGATGTTTTTAGTGAATATGGTCTACAAAAAGAGAACTAAAAATTCGCCAACATCAATAAAAAGTGACTGGAAACAAGGAACAGGATGTCTAAAATTAGGGGTGACCCTTTATCTTTACTTTCATTCATACCAAAGGGTAAAAATAAATGAATCCTTTATCGTTGGAAAATAAATGATGGATTCTTTTTCTAATCACTTACCTTTATTTTCTAAAGATAAAGAAATAATTTATCTTTATTGAGTAAAAAACCTAAAGAATAATAGTTCATTTGTTTTCGACCGAAAACGGAGTTGAAAGCATTCTAGAATTATAGAAATCGCGCTCAGCAGCGTTTTTATCATGGAGCGGATCTGTTTTGGTTGAGTAAAAGTTCTTAGGAAGTGAAATCAACTGGTGATGTTTTATTAGTATTCGGTGGGTTCTGACTAGAAGAAGGGTGTGGGTGTGGGTGGGTGCGCGTGTGCTCTGTTTATGAGAACCCACACCCCACACCCGACCCTTTTTAGCAGATGGGCGTAACAATGACGCCGAAATCACTAAGAACATGATTTATAACAATAGACATGGGTTTACGGATTGGCTACATCCAGGAGATCTTGTTATTGTAGATCGAGGGTTTCGTGATGGCATTTCGGACTTGGAAAAATTCGGTTACAAGACAAAAATGTCATGTTTTCTCAAGAAA